ATGGTTACAGGATGTTCAGGGATGAAGGAGTCCCAGTACACTCAGGGGTGGGAGGGGTTCCAGGATGATCAGAGATGGTAGGGGGGGTGGTTCCAGGGTGCCCAGGGTGGAAGAGGCTGGAGAGTTCTACACAGCCCCACTCAAGCTGGCTACAGGGCTGAGCAAGCAGCAGCCAGGCAAGCCCAGGAAGGAAGACCACCAGAACCACGCTACCGTCCAGTCCTCCTCCTGCAGACCCAGCAGCCTGGAGGCCAGGCTCCTCTTCCATCTCCCCACAGACACCCCGCTCCTGAGTCCTGTCACCTCAGCCCCGGCCAAGTGCTGCCAGTGAGCACTGGAAGGCAGTTCCCATCACAGACAAAAATAACGTCTCCATCCCCGGGCTCCCCGCTTCGCCCTGCCCAGAGCCCTGCCCCTTTCCACCAGCGAAGCTGCCCAGATGAGGGAACGAGCTCAGAGAGCAATGGAGAACTATTGCCCAGCAGGCAACAGTGCCAAAGCCATAGCCAGGCACTTGGCTGTGACCTTGAGCAAGTAGCTGCTTGTCTGCTCTATGAGCCTGAACTTCCCCATTGAGCCAACTAGCAATGGACAGCACAGGAGAGAGAGAGCTGGGACCAACAGCCAGGCACCTGCATCTGCTCTCCAATTACCTGCACTGCCCCAGCGCTGGAACTGCAGAGAGAGGCTCCACAAACCCTGCAGGACCCTGGCAACCTAATGTGGGAGGGGCGGTGATGGACAAACCACCTAGACCGGAACACAAGGAGGATGAGAAAGGAGCCCTGGGCAGCTCAGGGGATGGGGCAGGCCAGTGGAATTTCATCATCAAAGCCAGACCAGCCCTCTGCACACCCATCCCACTCACCCCTGCCCTCCCTCTCCTCTCCCCTGCCAGACTGCAACCCTTTGGAAAAGTACCGGGAAAGGCAGTCAAGAGAGAAATGCTTCCGAAACCAGCTTTCTGGACCGCTCTGGACCAGGGCTTGCAGGCCAAGTGACCAGGAGGAGGAAGAAAATCCTAATAAAAATGTTGCAAAATGTCCCAAAGCAATGTCACAACAGGACAGCCACAGTCTACCTTCTGTTCCTGTGGAAAGAGAGGCCCAGGAGACCAAGTTCCAGCGGAGTTCATTCCCACCTGTTCACCTGACTGGGAAGCCTGGGCCAGGGCCAGCCTGGCATCCACAGAGCCTACATGACAGACCATACCTGACCGAAATCAGGGGCACACAGCAGCCTCCCTGACCTCTCAGGGTTCCAGAGGTTCCCCCAGATTCTCTGGCTCACGGAGCAAAGAGAACCTGCAAGTAGGTGTGGGGGGGGGAGGGGGTTTGGCTCACCAGGTTTCTCCTGAATTAAAGAGGCTCTCAGCTACCTGGAAGTGGAGCTGTGGCTCAAGTGATAGAGCAACTAGCCTTGAGAAAAGCTCAAGGACAGTACCGAGGACCTGAGTTCAAGCCCCAGGAACCACACACACACACACACACACACACACACACACACAGGTTCAGTGAGGGCCGGGAAGGTGGCACACACACACACACACACACACACACACACACACACACACACACACACACACACACACACACACACACACACACACACACACACACACACACACACACACACACACACACACAGGTTCAGTGAGGGCCGGGAAGGTGGCTCAGTGGTAGAGCGCTTGCCTTGCATGCCTGAGGCCCTGGGTTCGATTCCTCAGCACCACATAAGCAAAAAGAAAAAAGCCGGAAGTGGCGCTGTGGCTCAAGTGGTAGAGCACTAGCCTTAAGCTGAACAGCTGAGGGACAGCGCCCAGGCCCAGAGTTCTGGCCCCACGACCAGACCCAAAAAAAAAAAAAGGTTCAGTGAATTACTGCTTGAGTGATGGGTAGAGGGAGGGAAGAAGGGAGGGGGTGGAGAGAAAGGAGGGAGGGAGAGGAGGAAGAATGGGTAGATGGAGAGAGAGAGAGAGAGAGAGAGAGAGAGAAGGGGAAGGGGAAGGAGGGAGAGTGGGAGAGCAAGGACCATAGCTTTGTGGCTCAATATTGCTGGGGCAGCCACGGGTGACCCCCACAATGGATGGAAGGTGGATATGGGCCCAGGGAAATGCTTAAAAACATGCCTACAGCCATGTGGGGCACTGGCTCCTCTCTGAAGCAGAGGGACAGGAGCGCAGACCTTCTCCCCCAGGGGCAGAGGGACAGAAGCCCCAGCCCCGCCTCTCCCACCTGGGGCACCTGTATCCGTTTAACCTCTGTAAGGCGGAGGAGACTGCCCGGGCCTCACCAGATAGGCCCAGGAAAGCAGGCTGGAGGCGCCAGCCTAGGGCTGGGCGGGGCCACCGTGACTGGCAGGTGTAGGACCCAGGAGGCCAGCATCCAGCAGAGTCCTCAGTGGCCTGGTCCCCAGCCAACCCAGCACCCCCACGGACTGCACGGGCCCCCTCCATGTGGCCAAGAGGACGCCAGCTCAGGTGTAGAATCAGGAAGGACAGAGCCCCTGGACCCACATGCTCGAGGCACAAACACAATTCACTCCCACTCAATGCAACTGGAGGATGGCATTTTCACTGCCATTTACCATGGAGGCCCGGTGTGGGAGCTCACACTGATAATCCCAGGACAAGAGGATCGGCCTCGGTAGCTGGCAGCCCTGAGCAGTCCCAGGAGCTGTCTCCAGCCCTGCCTTTCCCCTGACCCTGAGCAAGAAAAGCAGGAACCTTAATTCCCTCTGCCCAGCCTGAGGGTCAGAGTAACACTGTCACCTCCAGTCCCCCACAGGCAAGCTGACTCAGGTCTAGAGCGCCACTGCCTACTCACTGCCCACTCCTGGTCCTACAAGCAGACACCAGGATGGGTGAGGACCACTACTGACCATCACATATGACTCAGACCAGAGGCCACAGCAAGAAGTCCAAGAGAAATCCAGGCACCAGCAGCTCACGCCTGTAATCCTAGCTACTCAGGAGGCTAAGATCTGAGGATCATGGGTCAAAGCCCGCCTAGGCAGCAAAGTCCGTGAGACGCTTATCTCCAGCAAAAAGCCAGGAAGTGACGCTGTGGTTCAAGTGGTAGAGCGCCAGCCCTGACTGAAAAAGCTCAGAAACAGCACTGTAGGTCTGAGTTCAAGCTCCGATACCAGCACCAAAAAATAAAAAGCCCTAAGGAAGACTCTTTCCCTCCACATAGGGGCTGGTACAAGCACGCGCAGCCCAAGCCACCTCCTGGAAACTGCTGATGGTGACAACTGGGTCCCTTGCACACTGCTGGCCACACAGCTGGCCGGTCGCATAATGGGAACTTAATTCAGATTTATGGAGGTCTTACATCACTGCATTCCATTGCAGCAAATGAAAACAAAATTATACGCTGAGCAGGGGTTTTAACTCTTGGCCAAGACATGGGTTTGGCCAGGGTGTTTCCTCTTTGCAATTATTTTCAGTGCCATTTGCATTTGTTCATGCATGTGTCCGGGTGTGCATGAGCAAGAAAGCAACCTGTGCTCTATCTGGAGGTGTGGGGATGTGGGAATGTATGCCATAAATGAGTGTACAGTGTGCGCATGTGTATGTGACCTCCAGCCTCTCCCTGCCCTGGGTCCAATCCATCTCATCTGTTCACAAGGACAAGTCTAGGAGAGCATTGCAAGCATTTTAACAGATCTGTGGAGTGGAGAGCCACAAACAGGCCAGGATCTCCGCCCAGCAGGTACCACCCAAGCTCCCCCAGCCTGAGGTCTGAGCTGACGCACAGTTTGGTGAACAGGGAAGCCTGACTCTCCCTACACCGTGCAGAAATACAATGGACGAGATGGACAGAGCCGGGTACTGGCGGCTCACGCCGGTCATCCCAGCTGCTCAGGAGGCTGAGATCTGAGGATCAAAGATTGAAGCCAGCCTGAGAAGGAGAGTCCATAAGATTCTTATCTCCAATTAACCAGCAAAAAGCCACAATGGGGGTTGTAGCTCAGAGCAAGAGTGCTAGCCTTGAGCGAAAAAGCTAAGGGATGGCACCCAGGCCCTGAGTTCAATCACCAGTACTTGGCATGCACACACACACGCATATTTGCAACTTGTGCACGCATGAGCGCGCGCGCACGCATACACACACACACACACACACACACACACACACACACACACACACACACACACAGATGGAAAGGAAGTTCTAGAAGCTGGACTGAAACCAGTGACAAGATCTGAAAGGTAGGAAGGATTCCTGGGGTAGGAGGCGTGATGGGCCGGCCTGTGTGACCGTGGTGGCATCTCAGTCAGGCTGCCACGCTGCAGCGCCTCACCGAGGGCCTCCTGGTAGATCTGACGTTTCAGCATTTGCCACGGCAAACACTCTCTTCCCTTGGTTTGCAAATCGTGGGTTCACAGAGCATTTCCTCTAACACTAAGCCGGTGAAAACGGTAAATTAGGCAACAAATACCTGCAACATCCCATCAGCAGGCAAAAGCGGCAGCTCTGGTAGTGCAGGAAGTGGCAGTCAAGGCCCAGGCAGCCCGTGGCCTCCAAAGCCTGCGGGGGGGGGGGGGGGGGTGAAGAGGGGGGTATGGGGGCCACACAAGCTGCCAGCGCCTGCCTATCCAGACTGTCTGCAGTGTCATCCTGTCCACTGCACGGACGTTACCACGGGCCTGCTGTGCTTTCAATACCACATGGCACGCTGGGTCATTCAGCCCCACCAGAAAGCCACCAGTAAGCCACAGCCCCCAGAGTCTCTGCACCTGTCCAGCCTCAGCATCCCTGTCCAGCACCAGCGGTGCCACCCCCACTCTGCTTCCTCCCACCTGTCTGGACTTGAACACAGCAGGTGAGATGGGGAGCTCTCCCCACAGCCCTGCACACTCCTGGTGGTGACCTGGTCCAGCCAGTGCCTGCCAGCCACATGGGAGGGAGGAAACTTCCGGGCTGGAGAGCCAGGCAGGCCTGCTCTGCATCTGAGACCCAGCATGCTTGGCCACAGTTCGTGGCGAGTCCACTCACCTTTCCAAAGTCTCGGACATCGAAGAGGTCAAAGGGGTCAAACAGCTCACTGTTCCTTAGTCCAAACTTGTCGTGGCAGACTTTGAGGAAGGTGCGTATATTCTTCAAACACAGGAACTAGAGGTGGGAGGAGGGGACCAGAATCAGTAAGGTGGCAACATCAGAGAAATAATGGGCTCAGGAGCAGAAGGCTTTGCCCCAGGCCGGCACCCACAGCGTATCCTGACTCTGGCTGGCAGGCAGAAATCACAGGGTCACCAGAGACCTGCCATCAGAGGCCAGGGAGACTCAGAGCCCAGCCGACACCAGCTCTGTGGCCTGACAGGATGGCCACGAGCACTGGCCTCCACCACTGGGCAGCAGAACCCAGTCAAGTTGATGCCCCCAAGGTTGGATCAGATGGAGGTACCCACCGGGCCTCAGCGCAGGCCAACCCACACCCCTTCCCAAGCCAGACCAATCCAGGTCAGCACAAACAGCAACAACCACACGGGAGCAAGGGGTGCTGGAGCGGAGTCCGCACCAGGAACATGTATGTATACTGAGTGTGTCCCACACTGAACATGCACGTACACCAGAGCATGATGTGCACATGTGAACATGGGTGTGCAGCTGAGCATGACACCCTGTGAACATGCATGTGGCATGTGCAGCTGAGCGTGATACACACGTGGACATACATGTGCATACACCTCAACTTCCAGCAGCACAGGCCTCTGATTCCTCACCGGAGGACCAGGGAGCCGAACGCGTGCGCAACAGGCCAGCGCTCCCAAGTCCTCCCTACACTGTCCCCACTCCTGGGCTCCCGCGGCCTGAGCTGGCCCAGCAACTGGGGTGGGAGGAAGTGGCGGGGGGGGGGGGGGGAGGATGTGGAGGACACCATCACCCTCCTAGAGACAGCTGCACGGGCTCCAGGCAAAGGGCAGGCCTTGTGCAGGCCTGAGAGCACCAGGCAGCGGGTTTAAGTCCTGTCTGGCGATAGTAACACATGAGACAACTTGGGGGGCCCCAAGGCCTGTGTGCTGGCACACCAGCCTTTCTGGCCTTCAACCCAGCTCAGCACCCTGTCTGTGAGGTCTCCCGAAAGGCCTCAGACAAGTCCTGGTGGGTACTCACCCTGAGGGGCAAACCGCAGCCTCCAGACTAGAACTGAAGAAAAGGCAGTGAAAACCAGAGGGCGCTGAGCACCCCCAGTGCCCCGCCGGACACCCACCCGTGCCCACCCTCAGCAGGCGGTGCCCCAGACACCTCGGCCCTGGACCACCGTGTTGTTCAAGGACAATGAAGATTCGTTTCCATATTCATGTAATACCTGCCTCCCCACCCCCGCGCCTCTGGTATTTGAGATGAACTATGAATGAACCCCACATACACACATCAGCAAACACCTTCGAGTGCAAGCATCTTCCCAGAACCAGGCCTTCCTTCCTCTCCTTCCTCTCCTTCCCACAGTCAGAACCTGCAATTAACACAGACCCTCAGGTAGCTCAGCTGCAGACCGGACTTGCACTTCTGCACCCCATACAGATTAAAGACAACCTGGAAATCCTTTGTGCAGAGGAGGGGAGAGGGGAGGGGAGGGGAGAGGGAACCTTCTGCCACAGAGTCCAACCCCAGATCACACGACTTTTACCTGTCCTATCTTTTAGTCTCCATTAACCCACCACAGTGCTCTCCCACAGACCTTTCCAGAACAATGACATTTCCATGGGCAGTCCAGCAAGGCCGTGGGTAGACATGCACCCACCAGGCACTTCAAATGCATCTGAAAACCCATATTTCCCACTTAGGCATGGCAAATGAGTTACACTCAAAGGCCACACATGGCTGGTAACTGCTGGCTCGAGTGCCTTGAATGAAGTGGATCTAACACTCCTGACCTGAGAACTCTGAAGCAGACAGACAAGGGCGGGGAAAGGCAGGAGACTGCACTCACGAGAGGTCCCCAGGCTGGGCCAAATCACAGCACAGGTAACAGCGGTGAGGGCTGGGGGCCGGGGAGTTGGTGCTAACGGGGACAGAGTGTCAGTGAGGGAAGATGAGACACTGAGTGTGTGCTTAAGCACTTAATCACCCTTGGAAATGGTGAGGATGGAGCTGGGCGTGGTGGCACACAGCTGTAATCCAGCACTAGGAGACTGAGGCAGAAAGAATGCAAGTTAAAGTGTACTCTGTTCTGCAGTGAGATCTTGTCTCAAAAAACAATTTCAAACATTTGAACAATAAATGTTACGTATGCTTTAGCACAGTGGAAGGTTTTATTAAAGAGAAATGGGAACAGCATGACCCCTGGGAAGGCCGTGTGCCGATGGAGCAGGAACTGGGGTGACCGGGCTGCCGGCCACAGATGGCCGTCAGCCTCCAGGAGCAGAGGGAAGGCCTGGCACAGGTCCCCCTCAGACCCGCTAAAAAAAGGCTCCCTCACTGAGTTGGGAAGTTTGGGGTGCTGCAAGCCATGGGGCTGGGCACTTGTTAAGACAGCCCTGGGACATAACACCCCATTTCCAGTCTAAGAAGTTGGGCGAGGGGAAGGGCTGCATCTCAGTCCCTAACTCCCCTTCCTGCCGCCCTACTCTGCAGCACGCACGGCCACTCCCGGCCTACCTCAACTATTTTTGCACAGAGCTTGTCTCTAATTTCCAGTAAGCATATATTTTAATTCCTCTTCAGCCTCCCATTTTAGAGTTAATTACACACGTCCTCACCATAATCACAGGGAGCAAGGCCAGGCCTCCTTCTGGGGCTCAGAACAGGCCGGCAGCCCTTGCCCAGAGGCCCAGCCTCAGAGACCAGGCCCTTCGCCACACCAGCAGCCCCTCCAGGCAGCCTGACCTCCAGGCCTGACCCCAGACAGCTCCAGGCCAGCACCTGGAAAACAGCTATACTGGCCAGTGCAGGATTCCCGGATGGGGATGGCACACACTAAAACAAAGAACCTAGATAGCAGAGCACCAGTGGCTCATGCTGTAATCCCAGCTACTCAGGATGTTGAGATATGAGGATGGAGTCTGAAGCCAGCCCAGGCAAGAAAAGTCTGTGAGACTCTTGCTATCAAGAGATTCTTAACTACCAGAATGCCAGAAGTGGAGTTATGCCTCCAAGTGGTAAAGAGCCATCCTTGAGTGAAAAAGTTGAAGGACAGCACCTAGGCCCTGAATTGAAGCTCCAGTACCAACACACCACACACACCACACACACCACACACACACACACACACACACACACACACACACACATACACACACACACACACACACACACACAGACTGCAGCTTGCTTTGGTCCACACGCACTTTCCTTCACTTTCTCCCCCTGATGTGTTTATTCCATACCTTTCTGGGATAAGCTGAGGCTGTGAGCATTAAGGACATTGGCATCCAAGCAAAGGGCAAGCAAGAGCCAAAAAAAAAAGAACTGAGGTCTGGCCGTGTACTGGTGGCTCACGCCTGTAATCCTAGCTACTCAGAAGGCTGAGCTCTGAGGATCTTGGTTCAAAGCCAGCCCAGGTAGGAAAGTCCTTGAAACTCTTATCTATAATTAACCACCAGAAAACCACAAGTGTCACTGTCTCTCAAAGCGCTACCCTTCAGCAAAAGAGCACAGGGAGAGCACCCAGACACCATGAGCAACAAAAAAAAAAAAAGAAGAAGAACTAAGATCTGCTTCAAAGTAGAGACCCCCACTGCAGTGAGTGGGTGCCCCAGCATGGCATCCCCCCATGCACCCTTGACTCACCAATGGTCCAGTTATATGACTCCCTCTCTAGGGAAACTGAGGCCCTAGGGAAGAAGCACTGCTTGGTAGGGAGCCCAGGTCCTGACTGCTGGCCCCATTGTCTTTCCAAGGTGGTAGGGAAGGGGGCCATTGTCTTTGGATCTCACATAGCAGAGGCGGGTGCCGACAGAGGGGCGCTCCTGAAAGTCCAAGAGGGGAGGAGTACACCGGGCTGAGGCCCGTCTCCTCAAGTGGCGCTCACCAGGCCGCAGTGGCGGTGGGGAGGGAGGCAGGGAGGTGGCACAGTCCACAGCATGGGGTCCCGAGCTCCCTATCCTTGCCAGAGCTGGCCCTGTGCCCGTGTGCCCCTGGCAGAGCAGCACCTTTATCTCCCTGCTCCATCCAGGCCTTCCAAAGGGAGCAGACGCCTGCCCTTGGGGCAAACCCAGACGCCAGCCATAGGACGGTCTATCCCTGAAACCTGGCCCTGGGGAGGGGGTCACAGGCGGCTCCCCCAGCAGGCCTCCTGTGCTTGCTTAGGCCGCTGGGAGGTGGAGTGAGCCACCCCTCCTGCCCCCCATCTCACTCCTGCCAACCACCACCCCACCTCGGGCTGGGGCAGTCAATGCTGGAGTGCCTGGTCCGCAGCCTCTCCAGGCCATTCCGCCCCCTCTGATCTAATCAGGCTGAACTCCCACTAACGCGGGACTCAGGCTCTGTGCCCAGCGCCCTCAGACCTCCGCAGGCTCAGCCAGACAAGCCCCGGCTGCCACTCACTGTGAGCTGCCTTTCGGCTTCTGCAAGAACAGCTTCGTGGGCCCCGCCACGAAGTTCCCCCTCCAGGGGCCAGGGGGCAGGGGAGCAGAGCCAGGGCCCCACCCCTAAGGCCCCTGGAGGGGGAGCTTTGTGGCAGGGCCCACATGACCGCACAGGGGCTCTTCTCTGTGGAGGCTTTGAACTTAAGGTGTCTCTGTCCTGCAGAGGAGCCCGCGGAGGCCGAGGGAGAGAAGTGCCAGGCTTGGAGGGTCTCTGGCACCCTCGCCCTACAGAGCTTAACATCAGGCTGAGGCACAAGCGACACACTGTAAGCACTCCGTAGTTAATATGCAAAAGCTCTGTTAGCCAGGCAATCACACCTGTAATCCTGACTACTCAGGAAGCCGAGATCTGAGAATCACCATTCCAAGACAGCCAGAGCTGAGAATTCTTTTTTTTTTTTTTTTTTTTTGGGGGGGGTGTCTGGTCGTGGGGCCTGAACTCTGGGCCTGGGCGCTGTCCCTCAGCTCTTCAGCTCAAGGCTAGCCCTCTACTACTTGAGCCACAGCGCGACTTCCGGCTTTTTTCTTTTTGCTTATGTGGTGCTGAGGAATTGAACCCAGGGCCTCATGCATGCAAGGCAA